CCCCCCCCCCCCCCCCCCGCATCCAGCCCTGTGACACCCCCCTCCCCGCACATCTGGCTGTGTCTGTGTGTCTGTCTATGTGGAGCACTCTGATTGGTTGTTTCAGTAAGAATTGTGCTTAGCTGCTGAGACAACCAATCAGAGTGCTCCAAGAGCATTATGGACAGACACACACACACAAACACAGTCAGATGGACTAAGCCCTTTACAATTATTTGTGCTAGCTTTGGTCCTATGTGTTCAATGGGCCTTTCAGCCCTTCTAGCCAATGGATTTGAGTATTACACACACACACACACACACACACACACACACACACACAGCTATGATAGTTTCCACTTTCTAAAAATAAGTTTCTCTTCTTTGTTTCTTTTTTAATGCTATTTCTCATGTCCCAAAGAAAAAATGGCATTAGGGGAATCTCTAGATAGTATGGAGGTGGCATACCTGTTCTATGCTCCCATCCCTCAAGAGAACAGTATTTCCAAGAGAAAAAACAGCTGGCTGGGGCACATCAAACTTGATGTGTGCATGTAAACACCCACACAAAGAGGCCTGGCACTGAGGGCAGCTCAGCTAGGTCAGAGACTGGGATGAGATTTCTAGGCCATGCCAGTGGTATAATTTGCAGGTTATGACTGAGATATACAGTGGAGGAAAGTGCACCTTACACACACAGTCCTTGCATTTTAGTGTGTGGAGTACATACAATCACTTTGGCAAGGTACATCAGCTGTACTATACACCCCAGTGAGAACAGGGATGGATGAGGTTAAAGTGTGTCCACATCAACAGGTTACTTCCTTGTAAAATCCCTAGTGCTTCATGTTCAGTGAGTTTCTCCTTGAGGAGTTTTGTGGGAGTTCTGTTCCTGTCATGTGATTTCCTCCCCAGCATAGGATGACCCAACTTTTAATTATTTGCACTTTATATTTTTATTTTTCACTCTACACTGAACTACAAGTAAGCCTAGGGGCCAGTTTCTGGGTGATAGTTACACATGTTGGAAAAGCCACCGCTGGAGTACAGACCTTTTACTTCTCAGTGGGCATGCCTACATGAGATGCTTACCGTGCATTAGCCTAATAACACTGTGCAATAGCGTGGCAGTTAAAAGCTGTGCTAATAGCCTACTGTGCAGTGTTATTAGGCTAATGCTCAATTAAGTGAATAAAATAACCAGGCACAAGTACTACTGTGGAGTAACTCTAGTTACCGTGTATTCAGGTAGTACTTCATTAAAGAAATTCTAAACTAAATGCACAGTAGTTGGGGCGCATTAATGAACATGTAGATGTGCCCAGTCTGTCTCATTTCAAATCAAATATACAGCCCATTATGTTCTATAGCAGTGGTGTTCAACCTTTTTAGATTTGAAGCAAACCTCATTAGACTGGAGGCCTCCATAACTTGTGAACTGAATGGCACCCAATTTTAAAAACTAATTTGTATATTACAGTGCTTATGTACTAGACAGTGGGGGTGGAGGATCTGCCAAGCAAGGGCAAGCCTGAATCTACAATTACCTGCCTATCTCCTCACACCTTTCAACGCCTTTCAAAATGGTCTGGTGGCACATGAGGTGCCCTAGGACTCTGGTTGAGAATCACCACTACAGAGTCTCAGGGACCTGGAATCCTGATCCCTAATTCCAGAGCAGCTTTCTGAAGTTTGAATGCCTATGACTCCTGTCCTGATGAGTCTTGGGTCCCAAATATACCTCACTGAGTACTGCAGAAGACTGAGGACAGGATCATAGACAGTCGAAATACTGACACTTCAATGGTGTTTTATGATTATTAACTTCATAAGGATAGACAACTATTTGTGTTCTGAATTTGGCCCCTGTTGTGTTACTCAGTGGCTTTAAGGTTTTGTTTTACTTCATATAAACAATAAGGTTCCCAAGCAAGATATACTTGATAAGCAATCTCATCTCAACCCATTTACACCAGGCCTAAATTTAAATCGTAAACTAGACCCTGGATATGTATGTCCAATATCTGGATGAGAGCTGATATCTGCTCTGTCACTATCTATTGCCTACCTAAGAGATAGTGCCTGGTTACATACATAATTTTAAAAATTGTGTAGGATGCCCCTCCTTAGATGAACATTCTTGGGCCAGAGTCAGTGTCTGAACATGCATATCCACTGCAGAGATCAAAATGCAGAAAAATAAGAGTTTTTTCAGCATTTTAATAAGAATTTTTTCTTCACCTGAATTTTATCCTTTGAAGTTGGGACTTCCTATGCATGGAGGTATAGACAGTACTAAAAACAATTTATTGGTAATACAATGCAACCACTGTTAAATATTTAATGTTGTGAGACTCTAGAAGGGATTAGCAACAACTACAGCTAAAAACTGAAAAAGTAGGTCAGCTGCCCTAGCTGGTGTTTGACAGGCTCTTTAAGAAAGAATTTGGGAGCTGATTATATTACTAAGTGAAAGTTTTTATTAGCATATATGTCTGTGTAAGGTGCAGTTCAAAGAAAACATCTGTATGAGTAATGGCTGATTTTATGTGGTTTATTTAGGCCCTTGCTACATATTACATATATTATGCAATTAAGTGGTCAGTTGAGCAATAATTTTTGACTGGCCACATGTGCAAAGTAATTATCACATGATACAAATGACCATTAAGTTACGTAAGAACAGCCAATCAGCTGTAAAGTTTGTGCTTGAAAACATGCAACAACTCTACAGCTGGTTTCTATCTGGCTTTAATTTGAACATGTAGCAGAGCCCTTAGTGTTGCATTATAAAGAATAGCAGATTGCATTAGTATGTTTGTTTTTACTAAGCCTGTAAATCTATAGTTAGTAATTTACTTTATTAAAATAGTTTGCATACTGAATAAGTAATAGGCACCAAAGTCAAGTAAAGGCAGTCCTCAGACTTACAACGCAATTGGTTCCTGAAAACCACATCTTATGTGAAAACGTCATAAGTCAGAACCAATTTTCCCATAGGAACAATGTTATAAAAGGGGGATTGATTCCTTTACGATGCTCAACACAGCTGCCTCCAACTGGTAAGTCTGTTATGGTTGGGGGGGAGGGGGGAGGGCAAGGAGAAGGGAACTTGATG